CGAAGTCGATTATCTCGTCGCGACCGACGCGATCGGCATGGGGCTCAACCTCGACGTCCAGCATGTCGCCTTTGCGAGCCTGCAGAAATTCGACGGGCGGCGCCTCCGCCGCCTGACGGTTTCGGAAATGGCACAGATCGCCGGCCGCGCCGGGCGCCACCAGCAGGACGGCGGCTTCGGCACCGTCGGGCTGCCGCAGGGCGGCTTCACGCCGGAGGAAATCCACGCGATCGAGGGGCATCATTTCCCCCCGCTCGCCAGCCTGTTCTGGCGTAACCCAACGCCGGGGTTCGGGTCGCTCGACCAGCTTTTGTCCGATCTTGCGCAACCGCCGAGCCAGCCGATGCTCCGCGCCGCACCCGAAGCGGTCGACATCGCGGTGCTCAAGCATCTGGCGGGCGATATGGAAGTGCGTGCGCGCGGCGGCGATTTCGATGCGGTGCAGCGATTGTGGGACGTCTGCGGGCTGCCCGATTTCGAGCAATTGGGCGCCGAACATCACAGCCGCACCGTGTTGAAGCTGTGGCAGTCGCGCACGTACGGCGACGGGATGATCGACCCCGACTGGTTCGCGCGCCGCCTCGCGCGGCTGAACGATGTCGAAGGCGATATCGACCAGCTCGCCAGCCGCATCGCCGCGGTGCGCACGCTCTGCTTCATCGCGCAGCGCGGCGACTGGATCGCAGGGGCGGCGGGATGGACCGAGCAGACGCAGGCGCTCGAATCGCGCCTGTCCGACGCGCTCCACGCCGCGCTCGCACAGCGTTTCGTCGACCGGCGGCTCGCGCTGCTGCTCCGCGACGCGGGACAGCGCAATGCCGCGCTGCCCGTCGCGGTCGGCGCCGACGGCACCGTCGCGGTCGATGGCGAGGCGATCGGCACGCTCAAGGGCTTTCAGTTCAAGGTCGATCCGGTCGCCAAGGCAAGCGACCACCGGATGCTGCTCGCGGCGGCCGAAAAGCATCTTGCCCCGCCACGCAGGCGGCCGGGGGGGGGCGCCATTGCCCCCCTCGCGCCCCCCCCCTCTGGCCCGCCGATGAAAGAAACGGAAATAAGTCGTTGATTTGGAGGATGAATTGACAATATCCAATAAAGAATACATACAACGTTTCAATGACCAACAAGAAAAAATAAATAAACTAGAAGAAAGTCTCCACGAGATGCATCGAACGATCGAAAGGTTAGAGAAAGCGAATCGTCAATTGGAAGAAGACAATCGTCAGTTGAAAGAAGCGATTTGTCAATTGACAGGAACAATTCAAGAATCAAGCGAGTCAAATGAAATGGCTCAAACCGATGAAGACGGTGAATATTCTTATGTCGGACCAATTTCGAACGAAAATGTTCTGAAATTGAAGATTATCATGCAGATCGTGGCCAAAAACGAATCAGCTCAATTCATGATACAGAAAATGAAATAAAAAAGATTTCACGCATTCAATAATATGTCCAAATAACTCCATGTTTACGTATGTGTCAATTATGTTAAGTATCACCTTCATCATCTCAATTTGTCTTCCAACATTCAAAGTTTATGCGTACAAAAATGTGTATTATATTCATTTGGTTAAAATTTACAATGCTGAATTTTTCTGTAATAAAAAAGATATGAAATAAAATACATTTTCTTCCAAACAATAATTTATAATCCCTATAAATTACATCCATTTGATAAATAACAGATCAAAGCCCATTGTATATGAGCTTGGTAATGACAAAAGAACTTTGTAGTACACAATGATGATAACATCGTTCCTTTAACGGCACCATCTGAGTCAGATAATGCCTTCTCATTGTTCACTAATGTATTGCTCTTTAATTTAGCTAAAGCATTCACTATGAGTAGAGTTTTGTAATCAACTAAAGGTGATCATTCAGATGGAATTTATGCAAAAACAACACGTAGTATTTTTCATCGTATCACTGCAACAATATTACGATGAGAAAGCCTCATTTTGTAAAAATGACTTCAGCAAATTGACGAATACCAGTATGTGGTGTTAACTTCAGATTGATTATTCACATAATAACATTTTCTATTATCGTCATTAATGGCTCTCTCTCTCGACGAAAATCACAGTATTTTTAGCTCTTTCTTCCCTTTGAAGTGAAAGTACGATAAACTTTTGCATCTCTTTTAAACATTGAAACGAAATTATTTTAAGGTAAAGTATTCTAGTATTGGTACGAGAAGAAAAGTAGGTGAAGTTAACCTATACTCATTCAATAGAGTTGCACTTTTTGTCAGGCATAAACATTCAACAATCATTAATTTGAAGAAAAACAAAGCCAACTAATGATGACGAACGGAAAAATTGCTCGCTTTCAATTTTAAAAATACCTTTATACTAATGAAAGGTACAGCGTGAGCCTAAAAAGCATATTTTGCGTGTACATGCCTGCCGTGCCCACTCACACGTTTTTTGTTTCGATACACTTTCACCAAGAATAAATAGTCAAGAAAACTGTAATATAACTCAATACAAACGAGGCATAAAAAGAACACGATCGAAAATCATGCTTCGTCTAAAATGTGTTTTGCTATTATTATGCATCGTTGACATCGCATCAGGAGCAGCAAGTAATTCGTATCAAGATTGTTTGCAATTGGTTTCGAAATTTGCTCGAACAGTTACAAATGGTTCGGTTGCTGATATTCGTATGACGGCAGGTGTGAACGTCACGTGTTCACAATTGAGCAATGTCTCGTGTCCTGGCCAAATGGTCAATGGAGTTTGCACTTATCAACAAAAACTGGCTCTCACCTGCATCAATGGCTCAACAATCCGTATTCGAGTTCAGTCCAATGGTTTGCCAAGACGATGCTCATTAGTACCCTTAACGGTACGAATTATCGAAATGAACATTGATTTTGAAGTAAACTTCAATCCTGATGTCAGTGTCAATGCACCTGTTCAATCACCAACCACTGTTGCAGATCTTAGCAAACTTTTATGCAACATTACAAATCATGCCAGTGTGCCAGCAATATCCAATTTTGTGAAGAGCCAGAATGCTTCGATGATGGATACAGTAGCAGGTGTTGCCGTTGATGGTGTAAGTATTTTCAATGTCAACAGTGCCAATCTAGTTGACCCTTTCTATCCAAATCCGACGACTTTTCCAACAGAAGGAGCAGATCAGTGCTTATCACATCCAGGTGGCGGTGGTGAACTTCATTATCATGTTGCTAGTGGATGTATGGTCAATCCACCATCAGGTAACTTGACAGGTTGCGGACCAGATATTGGATGCTTGAATAATGTGGCAAATTATTCCATCCAGATGTTTTCCTCCTATCGAGTATTAACGGTGATTGGTATTGCCAAAGATGGTCATATAATCTATGGTCCATATTTATCGACAGGTGCACAAGTTACATCAGGCTTTGATATTTGCAATGGAATGTTTCATGATTCGATTGGAAACTACGGCTATTTTGCCACGAACACGTACCCTTACGTGACTGGGTGTTTTGGACCAGGAAACTATCCTAATGTGAAGCCAAATTGTACAACAAATCCAGCAATAAGTTATGTGAAATCATCCTATGCGAATTCGTTTTCGACATCAACGTCATCGTCATCGACAGGATCAAAAGGCATAGCATTCAACGCTCCCATATGGCTTCCTATCAGCTCTATACTTGCGACGATCATGTCAAATGCGATCGTAACACTCATCCGAGGGGTATCTTCTTATTCACAGTAGCATCACATTCTCTCGCTGTTGTCAATGAGTAACTACAGTACGTGGGTATGGTTTGTTTTTTTTTTTGAATCATTCATTTTCGTATGAGTATAGCTATTTTACATGTGTGTTATCGTTTATTGAAAACTTATATAAATTTATCTGATATGCCAATATTAAGAAATAAAAAAGTTATTTATAAAAGTTTATGTCTGTCCCCTAATAGTTTTGTGCACTAGTTATTTCTCGTTCGTGAAACCTTTCTTGTAATGGTACATTGTATCGAAAATCATTTCTGTATTTGTCTAATGCCCGACGTTGAGATTGCATGTGATTATCTGAGTGACCATTATAAGTGTGAAACAGGGCCGATGTTGGTTGAGATTGCATTTGTCCAACATTCGCTCTTGGCAATGAAACAGGAGGAAAAAGTTCTGCAAAATAACGATCACCATTAGTGTCTTTCGATGCATACAAAGGAGCAGACGAATGTTCATTTGAATCGTTATATGTCGATGAAGAAGATTCCGCATTGTATCGCTCCAGCATTCTCTGAAATGTTGAATACAGTTAATTCAGTCTGTTTGTTTATGAGTATGTTACCTGTCGATTTATTTCATCTGATTGGGCTTTGCTTAAACGGCGAAAGTGAAAGATAGTCACAAATATTCCACATAACTGCAATAAAAAACTTAAACTTATGGATACAGACACATTCTTGTTGATTTACCGAAACAATGAGACGAATAATCATAACGAAAAAGAGAATTTTGATTTGTTTAATTGGTCGATAATTCTAAATTATATATTTTGAAAGAAGGGATAGCACAAAATATAATACTCACCTGTTGTTGATTTTCTCGAAGAGATAGAACCGTAACAATTCCATCAGCTAACAGCATGAATATCATCAGAATAGACCAAACAAACAAAAGCCACGCCTTTTCCTTTGAAAAAGATCAACTCAATATATTGACGATTAGACCAATGTTTTCTAAAAAGTTTTACTAATTGAATGCCACAAAGAAGAAGAATGATGAGAAGGACAACACCAAAATAAATTGCTACTAACATCCATCCAAAAATAATCATCATTGAAGAGGAGGCAATCGCCCAAAAAACTAGTCGTACAAGAAGAATAACATATTTAGACGTACAGTCAATTCAAATTACAAAATGTACATACTACCACCATCTGTGTACGCTTTCCCCGATGACATTGTTGTTACATCAATCAGCGCATATAAACCACTGCTCAGGTAGACGATCTATATGCACATGAATATGAATGTAAAAATATGTGCTTAATTGAGAAGTTCTTACGATGATCAGTAACGCTGTAATAATCGATAGAGTAGACCATTTTATATTGCTGAATATTGTATGTCGATAAGTGCCAGGAAGACAGGTACATAGCGAAGGATCAGCCAATTTATTTGCATGAGATGTCATCGTAAACTGAAGTCAGAGAAAATAATAAGAAAAGAAAATGATCGTAAGCGATATGACTAAATCGTTCGAACGATCGTTAGATAAAATTTCGATTGCATATGCTGATTGTATACAGACAGAAGGAAAGACAAGAAAATAAAAGGAAAAAATTTACCAACAAATCTACGATATACATAGATGTTAGTTGTTCTACCTTCTTATACTGTGTAGACAATGAAAGCAAGTTTTTTATATACCAAATATACAGGATAACTATCTTCGGACTGGTTTGCTCGTCAGGATAGAATAGTGAGACTTTGGCATATCCATGTATACATAATAATTGACGAAAAAGATTTTTCTGAAGAATAAAGTCATGCAAAAACATAATAAAATACCAAAAGATGTCGCTTAGAAGAACAAAAATCATCGAGATGTGAAGCGTTAGGTCATGTGAAACAGCTGTAGTCCTTCATGATCCTTTCTTGTTGTTTTCCTTCTCTATCTAATTAATGAACTGACTATTGATCGATGCGAATTCGGCACAACGGACTTGAATAGGTTCAAAAATCCTTAAATCATATGGTTATACCTGTAAGCATTCTGGGTTCAATATTTACTGCAACTATTATAGTAGATAATCAGAAAAAATACTTTCAAATGGGAGTTTATTTTAATTCTTATGTTGACAACTATCGTCTAAATGGATAAAACGTCTTGTTCTTTATTTTGATGCAACCATTTCTTCGCTCAATTTCCATAAACGTTCAGCTGCTTCCATGTCTATTGCATGCGGTCCCATGCCCCAAAATTGTGTCGGATCTGTGTTAACTCCTCGACTTACAGCACAGTTTTCTAAATATTCACCACTATGATTATCAAGTTCAGGTGCCAATGCAGCATAAACACTTGTCGATGCACCTTGTTCAACGTTTTTAAATCTATCAACTAAAGTACCATCTTCTTTAAACCAACCCATTGCTTTTTGTTCTTCAACAGGTATGTATTTCACTAAATTAGTCATAATGCCACCAGGATGTAGAGCATACGCTTGAATGCCTTCGGATGAATATAGTTTATTGAATTGTTTAGCAAAGAGAATGTTTGCTGTTTTGCTCTGACCATAAGCAGCCCATTTATCATAGTTCTTCTCCCAATTGGTGTCATCCCAATTGATTCCACCGCGTCTATTGGCGATTGAACTCACGACGACAAGACGTGACGGCTTACCGGCCTTCAATTCAGGTACGAGACTTGTTGCCAGCAGAAAATGAGCGAGATGATTAACGCCAAATTGTGTTTCAAATCCATCGACTGTTTTTGAGTATGGGCACGCCATAATTCCCGCATTACCTGTTTCAACACAGAATAAATACCATAGGAACATAATTACGTTTACTACTTACAAATAAGAATATTAATAGGTAAATTACGTGCTCGAAATTGATTAACGAAATTTCGAACTGATTGCAATGAATTCAAATCTAGTTCCATGACTTCGATTTTATCATTGCCTGTTGATTTTTTCAAATCTGCAACAACTTCTGCACCTTTAGTCATATCGCGTGCTGTTATAATCACATGTGCATTGACTGTTGCTAGTGCCCGAGCAGTTTCAACACCAATACCTTCATGATAATTCAAGCTAGAGACAAATTTTTCATCAAAACAGTCTACCTGATGTACCACCAGTGATTAGAACAAGTTTGCCTTCTAAATTTGCATTCAGCCCTTTAATTACTTCAAGTGCAGTGGACTTTGCATGGAAATTCGTTGTCGCCATTTAGAATGAGTACCTACGTTGGTTGTGCTGGCAAAGGCTTTTGATGAAATGATAAGAGATCTTTCTACGCGCATTCTCATACAGATAACAAGATAGATTTGATAAGATTGTTTACAACATCTTAGCAAGAAGCTTTCAAGATGGAATTTTTCATATTTTGCCGATTATTCATCAATTGTAGCATATCAATATAGGATTCAAACAAATACTGACAGTCGTACTCTCTGTTTATTCTAGAATGAAAGAAAAAGCGTTTCTTTATTGACTTATGCGACGTGCGCAAGCACACGATCAAACCTGAATGTAATTCCTCTGAATTGAGTTGCCCTTGTACAAATGCATCGACGTACTCCCAAAGTATTGGAAGAAAGAAGAAAGAAAATCGGTGTATATTTCACGGTGTGCACTGAATAGAGTTTTCTTTTGCAAAAAGAATGAGTCGTGAAGTAGGTCGACCGATTTCTCGTCAAGCATTAGGACGTACAGCATTTATCGGTTCACTTTATGATGCAACAACCGATTTGTTCTGTGAACGTATTATTGTTAATGAAGATATTCCACCCACAGCGATTCGACAATTGGATGAAAATCATGGTCATTCTTCGTACGAGTTTGATACGGCTGTTTCAAAAAAATTACGAAAACTGAATGTAGATATTTCGTTGAGTCTTAGTATCCTTGGTGGATTGGTCAAAAGCGCAGGAGCGAGTAGTAGCTATTTATACACCCGAGACAAAACAAGTCAAAATATTGAAGCTACATTTATTCATCGATCAATTACACGTACTGAAGCTTTGAACGTTTCGCACAAAGACTTCAAAGCACGTGTTGAACCAACTGCACTACGACATAAAAATGCGACACATGTTGTCACATCAATTCGATGGGGTGCTGATGTGTTCGCTCAATTCGAAGCAAAAAGTACAACGACAGAATCAAAACATACTGCAAAAGCTGGACTACAACTGGAATTGAATAAGTTACTCAGTAAACTTATTTCTGTTAATCCCCGTAATTCAGTTGCTGTACCAGTTGAAGCTTTACAAGCGGCTCCTTCACCAACAATACCGACCACTGACGGAAGTACTCCGTCTGCTCCTACCGCGCAAATTGAAAAAGGAACAAGTAAAGACGAACTCTTGTCTTCATGATTTTTCTATATTTTCTTTAGCTGCTCCACAAATTTCGTTTGAGAGCACATCAACTGCGACGGCTTTTAATTATAAAATAACTTTGTTCGGCGACTTAATACCGACAACATGTCCGAAGAATATCGAAGAATTACTTGCCATGATTCCGAACATCATGACTGGTCTACAGAAAACAAATGGCGGTAAAGGACGCCCGCTAGAATATCTTATGTTACCGATTTCCGAAGTTGCGGAAATTCTTGGTCAAGAAATCGCTTCTGACCGAATCTTTCGAGCCGTCGAAGAGAACGTGACACATGAAATTGAAGCGATCTTTGACGAATGCGATCAGTTACGGACAACTGTTCGAACAATATTTACTTCAATTGAGAAAGCCGAAGATTTCTTTCTCGAAATAGAAATCAATGAAATCAGTTCACACAACCAGGCAATGTCTCACTTTTCGCGTGATATCCGGGAGAAAATTGGTAAAATGTTAGTACAAGTCCGAAGTTGCCACACACAGCCATCTGAACTCGATCGATTACTAGTGGAAGTTGAATCTCAACTTGCAGAACAGCGAATCAAAGTCAAACAACTTCAGCGCGGCGATTTGAATGAAAAATTAAAATACATCATCGAACTCCGAGAGAAAGATGTTATTCCTGTACGTGAAC